ATATATATATATATATATAGATAAAAATGAAATTGGTCTTCTATTCCACTCTCTTAAAAAGAGAGAAAATCAATTTTATACTTGGGGACATAAAATTTAGATTAATCCTCTTTGCACTCCGAAAAAAGTGTGGTTTATTGGTGTTGCGCTGTTGCACGGAGATATGTTCGTAGAGAGGTTTCGCAATAAGAAAGTGTACTTCATGACAGCGCATAACTCTTCTTACAATCTTGAAGATTAGACTATTTTTTACGAGTGCGTCTTGTATATCATTGTCGTTCGTCCTAAGTGAATATATACGCTGTTAAAATTGATAATGTTAAATTATTAGTTATTTTTAATTATTTTTGTAGTTTAAATAGTTTATAGTTTAAATATTTCCAATCGTCACTGCTCCTATCTAATATATATTGTTAATTTAACTAAAACAATTAAACAATTAAACAATTTAACTCAAGAAAATTCATTAAATTTAACTTAATTTTTGTTTATTCTGTACTAAGTACTTATTCTTTACTATATACGTTCATATGAACTAAGTTCTACAGAAATGAATTAATTTACATTTTGATACACATGAAAATTAAAAATAACAAAATGTTATTTAATTCCAGGGATCGGGTTATTATTATTCCTTTAATATTTAACAATATGGAGAGACAAAAGCGTATATTTTTCTTTTTATGACAGTATTACAATTGAACGTGACAGGAGCAGGTACTGATATTTAATTAGCAGAAAAAAAGCAGTAAATTTAAATTCGACTCGAGGCGACGTCGACAGACCGCAACTGTATTGTTGACTCGTATTATTGTCTGTCTAGCGGTGCGTTTCAACCGTTAAACGGAGACACTTTCGTATTGCGTTTCCGTTACCGCTGATAAAATCCCGCAGATCGCGCAGCGACGGCGTCGCCGTCAACAGTGTGATTTCGTGCGAGACGCCTTTTTACGAAGTCAAGTCGCGCTCACGTCGCGACGCGGTTCGCGCGGAATTCCAACGCTCCAAATTGAATTTCTCATTGTACAATACTCACGTAGAACCGGGGCTCCCGTCCGACCGACTGCTCGGCTTCACAGATACCCGTCGGCGGGTTTGCTCGCGCGTGAGACGCGCGTGTCATTGTTACTCCAGCAGGTCGACCGATAGCCGTCAGAACTTGTTTCGTGCTACTGCCTGATCGTGCGATCTGCAAACAAACGATATCTAATTGTGAATGTTTTTTTTATTTCACGTTACATTTCCTGCAGGAATCTACAATATATCTTTTGATATTTGTAGGATACTGCATATATTTTTTAAAATTAAATATCGAAATGATTTATCTTTGTTTACTTTGTGACATTTATGGATTGAGAAAATAATTTATTACAATTTGTCTGGTTCCGCTGAGGAACCAATGTAAAGCCTAAAGCAAATGTAAAGCCTAATACGAGTCGCTTCGTACTTTTAGTTGCTAATTGAGTTATCAACTTTAACACAATCTATCATTTTCTCAGCGGGAACATTAAGTGTTTACTTATAGGATTTTCAACTCGTTGAATAAACTAACGTAAATTTGAGGGAACGCTGGCACATGCGAAATTGTTCCTGTCTGATGGAAATATATTTCGAAATTGATGAAATAACATAAATAATATGTGACTTCCTGTCGGTACTATTTATATTTGCTTATTTCACAGAGCTGACTGAAAAAGTAAATATTGCCGGAATATTCCAAGGAGAATATTCCTGTTAATTCCTTTCCACTCTCGAGGCAGCGGATCGATATCAATTTTGAATCGCCCAGTACGATAGTTAATTTCAAGGATAATCTACTCTGTGTTAATTTATTAGACTGCGGCTAAGAGGCTCGATATTTTATGTGAGCATGCACACGCAATGGTCGATGAGAAGAAAGTTTTAAATCTTATCCAAGATCCTCCTAGAAAGAAATTCTTCGAGTACGCATTTTAGAATTGTTATTCTATAATTGTTTCATGTTACAATTTAAATATTAACATTTTTAATATTATTTTAAATATTAGTATTTTTAATATTATTTTAAATATTAGTATTTTTAATATTATTTTAAATATTAGTATTTTAATTTTTTGCATTATCATGTAATATTGGTAACAATGGTTCTCGAGTTGTTCGCTTCGAAGCTTGCGGCTGAATATCGATTTGCCAACATTGTGAACTTTAAAACTGCTGATTCCTTGCGTCTACCGCTGTAAAGCGTGAAACCGCTGTAAAAATCGATAAATGCGTTGATCCTGTTTTTTTCTCTTCGGACACAACGAATGAACTTTCTGCGTTTTTTTTTTTTCTTATGTGCTTGAGGGATGCAAAACTGTATGAGGGTGGCTAGAAAACTTGTAACCGTTTCTTCGTCCTGTGTTACCTCGATTCTTCCTTTTTTTCATTTTTTTTGTTCCTAATGGTATCTGCGTTTTTGCTTAGCGCGTTAATGAAGTTGCCACTGAACGTGGCACGAAGTAAACTTGCATGAAAAGATTTACCGTCTCGCCAGTATCTCTTAATAAAGTTCAATTATAATTTTGTGCACTGGATTAACTTTTACTAAGGATGTTACATAAAGATCATAAGTCGTTTATTTAATCTTTTATTAAGTAAGTAGTTTTTGCCAGAGATTACTTACGTTACACTTCGCACTATTTTTTGTTTGAGCTAGTTTGGAATTAATATAATAAATGTTCGAAATATTTCGTGCTACAAAATAAATATACATATATAGGTATATATAGGTATATAATATATAGGCATAACACTAAATAAAACATAAGAAACGAATTGAACTTTATACGTTCTTGTTAATTTTGATTGTGCAATTGATATAATAATTATTCAATAACTTTATATTAAATGAATTATAATATATTAGATATGCATATCATAATGTAATAGATTAATCCTTTGAATGAAAATAATTTTAAATTCTAATGCATTGAAAAATAAATTTAAAAAATTACAACGGGTTATTTAAATACATTTAAAATTTATCATCTTTATTTAACATTAATTAAAAATTTTTTTGTTTAATCAGGTTATTAAGTTAAGCTTATTAAGGTTATTAAGGTTATTAAGTTATTATGTTATTAATTGCGTAAAAAATTGAAATCAGTTTATTAGAGAGAAAATATGAAATCCAATATTCGCTTCGACATAGTTCGTTTTAGTCCATAATAAGTACAGCCTATATTGTTTCACAATTGACATCGTGCGTCCCTTTATACGATAGATTAATCGATAACGATTATTAAACTTATCCTTTAGCCGTTGTAGGATATGAATGAGCGATAACTTGCAGAATCATTTATAATTGGCGTTAAATTTAAGCAATTTTTGATCACGTCTAAATTGACACTGAAAATGTATATGAAACAGCATGAATATGTATATTCAAGAAATTGGATTGCTATTCGAAAACTTTGTCTTCTGAAACTACAATAGGAACGTATGTCTCTTGTTGCAGATTCGCGCAAATGAAGGATGTTAGATGAGGAAGTTTGCGGGACTGCCTGAATTGCAGGTAAGTGTATAACATAAAGTCATATGAATAATCTCTTGAGCAGAATGTGTATTATTTAATTAATAACGTGAGATTTTATTTCTGTATATTATACATTAATTCGTAATACAAAAATTTAATGAATGTAAAATGTATTTTATTAACAGATTTTATTTTAATTTTATTATGAATACTTCGCAAATAAATTATACGACATTGCATATTTTTAAATTATTTTGATAATTTTCTTAACAATTTGTTAAATTTTTTAAAAACTATTTAATGATATATATTAAAGTTATATCATATATTATAAAATCATATATTGTAAAATATTTTAATCATATTTTAATCATATTTTATAAAATTATGATGACAGTTACTTATTGTTACATTAATTTTCGATATTCACTTAATCGGCTAGAAAATTTCCATTTGACCATGCTATTTTTACCCGAAGCGAAACTAATTGATGTCTTATTAAAAGAGTATTCAATTACGTTTAATACCAGTCCTACATTGTCCTACGTATCGATCTAATCGAGTGTTATGACAACCTATCTTCTGCCTCAGGATCTAGAGTTATCCAGCTACACATTTAATCTAATCAACCACCTGCTCATGATTATCTTAGGAGGTCACGATATCACGTTATATATCATCCGATGTTAACTTTATTTAAGTTTAACTGTCTGTACAGCATCTCAAAATAACGTCGAATGAAACGTCAAAATTACGATTACATGGTATTTCCAAATGATCATTTTTTAAACAGATTTTTAATTTGAAGTATTACACACACACACACACACACGCACGCACGCACGCACGCACGCACGCACGCACGCACGCACGCACACGCGCACAAAATAAGAATTTATTTCAAAGACTCCTTT